GTTTGGATGTATTCAGTGTTGGCTAGAATTTTTAATATCTGCTGATGACAGTTTGATGGTATGCACATATTGATCATGACTTTCCACCAATTAATGGATGATGGGCAAGGCCTGAGAAGTGTAAAATCAGCTGAAATTTTAACACTTTTCTTCTTAACTCCCAGATATGTTAGAATCAAATATTGTTTATGGATGGAAAGATCTAAAGTGCTTTACGAAATTTGTGAATGTTATGACCTCCTCAAAGGTCTCAAATGACATCATGGGGAGGGGTTAAAATTTACTTTTGTTTATATTGGAAAACCACTTTTTTTTTTGCAGAATTTGTTTTACTTAATATTTGATTGGAAACATTTCAAACTTATAGACTTATTAGTATAATTATTTGATAGTGTGTGCACATCCTGACCCTACCTGACTCCAAGGGGTTGATAGGTAGGGCCTATATTGAAGGTCACAGAGGCAAAAGCCCTTTTAACCTTTGAGTCTCTTCTGATGAAATATCAAAAGGCCTAGAATAATATCTCAATCTTTAAGAAAAGGCATTTGCAATATCAGAAAGCTTTGGAAGTCAGATGTTAAGATGAAATACACTTATTTATATGGAGTATCCTTCAGTCAAGCTTACTCAATACAGATGTTTTCAAAGGTTTTGAGAATATTCCATTGATTCCACGTCTGTCCAGGTGAGCTATACAGGCCCACTGGGCCCTCTTGTATTTGCCTACAAAAAAATTTATTTTCATGTGGCAATAGCATAACATCATTTTTTACATACAATGTAACTCAGTTGATCCTTAATGCCCATTGGCCTCTTGTGTATAGGATTATTATTCTGATGAATCAAAGGCCTAAAAGCTTGATATTTGGTTGATCAAGGCGATTGAATTCAATGTAATGAATTAGTTTTGTACCTTGGACCAGGTGTGCAATACAGGCCCATTGGGCCTCTTGTTTTTGGGTTTCCATCAGAATTTCCTGCAACCCCTCTGGAAATCATTATTTTTTAACTATGAAATGTTCATGAATTCTCATGAACTGTGCATGAACATGTTCATTTTCTTTTGAATCTAAGTTCATGAACATTTTTATTCATGAAAAATTTATGAATGTTCATGAATTGTTGATGATTGATTCACAAGGTAAAAAATTTAGGCATATTCTTGACAAAATTTTGTTTCTTGTTTGTTTTTAACATTATTTAGACATATATTTAAAAAAGGACCTTCAAGTGGTGATAGGGACAAAGACAGAAAGGCTTCTGGAAATACTATTATGTGATGCAGACTTGCCAAAACATACAGTTACATTTTTAGCTTTCAGTGTTTACAGTTCTTTTTATTTTTTATTTATAGCAAAGATTACGACTGGAAAAGCGATTAAGCCAGGAAAAGGTATTTAAGCTAATTTTATAAGCTGCAGGAAACTAGACCACAGAAAATGTCAACCAGATTGAAACTAATGCCTGAATTGATTTTAAAAAGTCTGTAAAAAATTAATGAAGAAAGCTTTACCATTTTTAGGTCGTCTGAGCTGAAGGCTCATGGTGACCTGTTGCCATCATGATTTGTCTGTCGTCGTGCGTCGTGCATTGTGCGTTGTGCGTCGTTAACTTTTTCACATATTCAACTTCTTCTCAAGAACCACTGAATAGATTTTGACCAAACTTGGCACAAAGCATCCCCATGGGAAGCCGCTTCAAGTTTGCGAAGAAAAAGGGTGTGGCCCCAACAGGGACCTCAGGAGGGGGAAAAAGGGGGTAAAATTAGGTAAATCTTGAACAATCTTCTTCTCATGAACCAACAGTCAGATTAAATTCATATTTTATATTTAGGGTCCTTATGGCCAGGTCTACAAAGTTTGCGAATGAAAAAAAAATCGGGTCAAAAACGGCCCCACAAGAGGGTGCTCGAAAGGGTCAAAAATTAAACTTTGACTGATTTCAACCAAATTTGGTAGAAAGCATCCCTTAGTGAAGGACATATGAAATTATGTTGAAAAAAGTGATAATGTCCTCTTTTGGGCCCATAAGGGGTGTAAAAGTGGACATATGTAAAAACCTTCATTAAATGACTACTTCTCAAGGACCAGTAGATGGATTTTGACCAAACTTGGCACAAAGCATCCCCGTGGAAAGCCACTTCAAGTTTGCGAAAAAAAAGGGCATGGCCCCAATAGGGACCTCAGGAGGGGGAAAAACGAGGTAAAATTAGGTAAATCTTTAAAAATCTTCTTCTCATGAACCAACAGTCAGATTAAATTCATATTTGATATTTAGGGTCCTTATGGCCAGGTCTACAAAGTTTGCAAATGAAAAAAAAATTGGGTCAAAAACGGCCCCACGAGGGGGCGCTTGAAAGGGTCAAAAATTAAACTTTGACCGATTTCAACCAAATTTGGTAGAAAGCATCCCTTAGTGAAGGACATATGAAATTATGTTGAAAAAAGTGATTATGTCCTCTTTTGGGCCCATAAGGGGTGTAAAAGTGGACATATGTAAAAACCTTCATTAAATGACTACTTCTCAAGAACCAGTAGATGGATTTTGACCAAACTTGGCACAAAGCATCCCCATGGGAAGCCACTTCAAGTTTGCGAAGAAAAAGGGCGTGGCCCCAATAGGGGCCCCAGGTGGGGAAAAAGGGGAAACTTAATACTAATGTTCTACAAAAGGTCCTGGCAAGTGTTTTAACTTTTTGGGGCGATTCAAAACCCAAGATTGCCACCCTGGCCTCTGTTTGGCTAAGACATTATGGACTTCCTCTCAAGAACCATTGGGTGGGTCATGTTCAAACTTGGTACAGATGTTTTACACATGGTCCTGCACAAGTGTTGTTACATTTTTGCAACATTTTAAAATCCCCAAATTATTGACATATATTCCTCAGGTGACCGTTAAGGCCCCTTGGGCCTCTTGTTTACCCAATAGAACTTAAAACATTTCATTTTATGTTTATCATCAGATGAAGAATAAGGCTTGTGGCCTTTTGTTTATGTCCCCCTTTGTAGAAGTGGGGTATATTTTTTTGCATCTGTCTGCTAGTCTGTAAGCAACCAATATTTTAAGATCCCTTCACTTGATTGTTATGATATTTCATATGTGGCTTGGTCATGGGTGGTGGATGACCCCTATTGATTTTTGAGGTCAAACGGTCAAAGGTCAATGGGTGCGAATGCAGTGACCTTTACATTTGTCTAATCTACATCTTAAGAGCCCTTTACTTGATTGTTATGATATTTCATATGTGGCTTGGTCATGGGTAGTAGATGACCTTTATTGACTTTCAGGTCAAAAGGTTGAAGGTCACCTGGTGAAATGATGGACAGAACCTTACATTTATCTGGCTAGAACATAAGTAACCATGTAGAATGTATATGTCTCCTTCACCTTTTATTTCTCTGTATATCTTTGGGTCATCTGCAAATTTCGCACATGGAGAAACAGGTATTTCAGGTAGGTCATCAATACATATGACAGTTGAACGCTTCCTTGTGGAATACCACTTTTTACATGATATGAATTAGAAATATTACTATCTGATATGTGTTTCTGCTTGTTTTTTATATTTCTTTTGTGGGTTAGTCAGTCATGTTAGATGACCCCTGTTGATTTCAGGTTAAAAGGTCAAAGGTCACCAAGTGCAAAACCTATAAATTTGTGTAGACTAAATATCTTTATAATCTTAACTTCATATTTATGATATTTCATACAAAAGTTGGTCATTGGTAGTAGATGACCACTATTGATTGATTTTCAGGTCAAAAGTTCAAATGTCACCGGGTGCAATCCAACCTATAAAATTGTTGTCAAGTGAGGGGGGAGGGGGACATACATGTTTTACAAACATTTCTTGTATATTGTTTGTGTACATAAATGAAATACTTTGTTGTGTGCTGTACACTGTGCGTAAACTTTTCACATTTTAAACTTCTTCTCATGTTCCATCAGTGGGATTAGCTGAAACTTGACTGAAATGAACCTGAGATAGCCCTGATCAAATGTTGTTATTTTTCGGGTCGATCCAAAATCCAATATGGCTGCGATGATGGCCATTTAAAAAAAAAAATCATTGTTTTTCTCAAGTTCCACTGATGTGAATGTACTGGAAATGAGTAGGAATGATAAGGAGAGGCAGCTGACATGGTGTTGTTACTTTTTGACCCTGTCAAAAAGTCACCATGGCAACCATGGGGCCATTTGTAACATGATTGTGTAATCATGATTTCAGTGCAGAACCATGCACATTTTAAACTTCTACAGTTTCACAGGAGCAATTGAGCTGAGACTTGACTGACATGATCCTAAGATGGTCCTGACCAAATGTTGCTATTTTTCCGGGTTGGTCCCCCCCGAAATCCAATATGACTGCAGGCATCATGAATAATACATTTTAAACTTCTTCTCAAGTTCCAGCAGTGGAATTGAGTTGAAACACGCTTGAAATGATGCTGAGATGGTCCTGATCAAGTGTTGTTTTTTTGGGGTTGGTCAGAAATCCAATATGGCTGCCAGACGCAGGTTCATTGGGCCTCCTGTTTCACCAATAGTCAGATGACCGTTAAGGCCCATGGGCCTCTTGTTGACATATGAAATTTGCCGATAAGTACTGAATGGATCTTCCTTTGCTTTTATTATGTGGATATATAGGTCCTGTTGGTCAATTTTGAGTTAGATCTTGGATTTTCACATTATATATTTGATATTGATATATCTCCAAAAGCTACTAAATCTCACCTAGACTTCATATTTTGATTCCCCATGCTTTAAGTGGAAGAGCTTGAATAAAGGGAAAAGTAGAGAAAACATAAGTCTTTAATAGTGTCAGTATAGGTCATTTATCTCTCTGGAATATCTTGTTTTTTCTGTTGTAGTTACAGTTGCACCTTCAAAAAATAATACATGTCGTCGTGTGTGGGATAGGAAAAATGCCTGCTACTATTGCACCAGTTTGGAGACCAACTTGGGACGTCACTTGAAAAGAAAGCACCACAGAGAAAAAATGGTGCAGAAAGCATTATCCTACAACAAAAATTCAAAGGAAAGAAAAAATGAAATGGAAAGGTTGAGACACATAGGTAATTTTTATCACAACTCAAAAGTATTGGTATCTGGCGAGGGAGAACTCTTGGTGGCAAAACGGCCTCCTAGTGGTGCCTCTGTTCGATATGAGGACTATACCCCTTGTGTTTATTGTAAGGGCTTTTACATTGCTGTGGACATATGGAAACATTGTAAAGACTGCAAATTCAAGAAAACAGGAGATTCTTTTCTGTGTGACCAGGATGACCAGAAGCCACAGAAAGCAGGACTTAAGGACAGTCGCATGTTAATGGCATCCTTAAATCAATCACATCAAAATGGAAAAGATGAATCCAGCCATGGGCAACTGTTTGGAACAATGAAAATGGATTCTATTAAGATGGTGTGTGTGAATGACGAAATAATATCAAAATTTGGCAAGAACATACTTTCTTGCAAAGGGAAAGATCATATTCCTTTTACTCGTGCCAAAATGAGGGAAATGGGAAGATTATTGGAAAAAGTGAGACAAACAGATGAAAATGACGAAACACAGTCAATGACAGTGAAGGATATGTTGCATCCAGCAAAGTTTGACATGGTTGTTAAGGGAATACATTCTTTATGCACATACACCTTGCAGGAACAAAATAATGTCCCACAGTGTGATATTCCTTCATTAGCATTAAAACTTGGTCACTCTCTAAGGAAATGTGCTTACATAAAACAAGGCTTATGTATAAGATCTGAGGATTTAAATGGCGAGAAAGCAGCAGCAGCCTTTATAAAACTAATGGACATGGAATTCACGCAGAAAGTAAGCTCCATTGCTCTTAGTACATTAAAGGAAAACAAGAAACCTTCTGTACTACCAGTAACCAGTGATGTTGTGAAGTTCTCTTCATGTATTCAAAGCAAAATAGTTTCTTTGTCGACTGAATTACAGAATGCAGAAAAGGAATCCTGTCCAGCAACTTTCCAGTCCCTTGCAAAAGCTACACTATCCCACATTATTACTTTCAATAAGAAAAGATCAGGAGAAGTTGGGAGAATGACAGTTGAAAATTACACCAACAGATCAGCTGTTGGAAATGAAGGTAACCAGGATATCTTTGAGATGTTATCTACAGTAGAACAGAAACTGAGTAAAAGGTAAGTAGAAAGAAAGTTCAATGTTTACTCTTGTGTATAACTTGTGTATATATATATATATATATATGAGAGATTAATTTCTTGCAAATGCATGTTTCTTTTTATCATTTGAAAATTTCTCAGGAGATTTTTCTAAATTATATTTTATATTAGGTCAAATAATTATTCATTTCCTAAGACTTCAGCCACTGTTACATTTTTTCAGCATCATTATAGGGCTATGGGAATACCTGAACTTGGTGAAATATTGAAGTTGTTGGTTGTGTTGAAAAAAGATTGGCATCAATCAAGGAGCATTTTTTAGTTTGCCTGCCAAAAGGGACATGCAAGTAAATTTGACATAGTGTCACCATTTGGCATCTGAATGGTCTATTTTTTTTATTTTTTGACAAGATGTATTATGGTATGGGGGGAAGGGGTGTCCTTCCACACTTTGGTTTCTGCACAATAACTTGAGTAAAATATTGTTCAATTTTGATGAAATTTGATATGCAGGTGTATTTTAGGAAGACTAATGTTGGGTTTGAACATGAGTAAGTTCAACGCATGATTAATTAGCATACTGTGCTCTGATTGGTCGATTTCCATACTTTGGTTTCTGCACAACAACTTGAGTAAATATTGTTCAATTTTGATGAAATTCGGTATGAATTGTATTGCAGGAAGACTAAGCTTAAGTTCGAACTTGAGCAGAATTGACGCATAATTAAGTAGCACACTGTGCTCTGATTGGTCAATTTCCTTACTCTGGTTTCAGCATGGTAAATTGAGTAATTGTTGTTCAATTTTATGAAATTTGGTATGCAGATGTATTTCAGGAGCACAAAGGTTAGTTTCGAATATGAATAAAATCAACGCATAGCTATAAGCACATTATGCTTTGATTGATTGATAGGGTTTGGCATGAAAACTTGATAAGTTTTGACTGACGTATAATGCACCTGTTTGCGGTGTTCTTGTTTTTCAGGGTCAACATATCATTGGATAAAAATGTATATTTTTGACAGCTGATCTTAATCTAAGTGTAAAGTCTAACATGAAATTTAGTTTAATTGCTGGTTTTTGGAGCACAACTTGACTGCCTAACTTGAAATACTATATTAAAGGCTGTCTTATTGCTGAGTGCTGTCAGTATATGAATCACGTTTCTAATATGGATGTACAGGTACTGTATCTGTTTTATGAGTGACACACATCTGACAAACTTTAGTTTGTTTTCAGTGTGTTCTATAGAAGCCGGTATCCGGTGAATCTGACCACTTATTTTGATATGGGCGCCGGCTATTTCAGAAAAAGTAAAAATAACCTCATACCTCATTTTAAGCGTGTTTACTATCTATCCATCATACACTTGAAGAAAAGCATGGTTTATTCAAGCAAAAACATAGAGTTATCCTCGACCTTCAGCACAAGTTGGAAGGTGATCCTTGTTAACAAAAGCCTATATCCAAACATTGTGACGATAGAATGTGAGCAAGCGCTTGTCTGACGTAGAATCATAAAAAAATGAAGCAGTCAATACAAGACTATTTTGACCAGGGGCTAAAGTGGCCAAAAGGTACACATGTTGAAATAATCGGATCATGATTTTTCATATATTTTTGTCTTGTAACATCTAGGCAAGTACAATGAGTTAATAAGCATCTTAATTAATCCCAATCTCAGGCGATCAACACGCCGTCATCTCATGTCGTTACTGACACTCGCTGTACTGAACTGTAGGCCTAGCTTGCGATGAAATAACTCAGTACTTATAACACTTCAATAATGAAGATCTATTTAATCATGAATAAAAAGCAAATCCAAATGTATTTAAAATCATTCCTAAGAGACATGCTGCCGACAAAAGAAATAACATGCAGGAATTAAAATCTAGTTTCCATCATGGTACGGTATGGGCTAATACAATAAAAGGTTCACAGATATTTGTTTTTATTCTTGCGTTTTTTTCACCTTGGTTCTTGAGTGTGAAGATAATCAATATTGTTCCTAAATTTGTATTAACTTTTTTCCCGACCCCTCCTGTACTGTCCTCCCACGGGCCTGCAGCCCAAACCACCTACTTCTGTATTATCACCAGCTACTCAAAAATATCTTGAACACACTGTGTTTTACATTCATTACCACACTAATAAGGCACATATTACTTCTGGATTATCACCAGCTACTCAAAAATGTCTTGAACACACTGTGTTTTAGATCCATTACCACACTAATATGGCACATATTATCAATGTGACTTTCCAGACTATATATACATTATTGATATAAAGAGAGATCAAGGTGGTGGTAAGTCCCATGTTCAAACAATAATGTTATTTTTCATTGTTTATTTGAAGGTTGGATATGATGAGCATAAGGGGGAAACGTGGCAGACAGGTTCCAGTCATATTAACTGGTGACATGACAAAAGCATTGGAATTGTTGGTTGATCCAGATATAAGGGTGAAAGCTGGCATTGTACCAGAGAACAGATATTGTTTCCCTATGTCTAGAGGCAGCATTTTCAACATAAGGGGTTGTGATGCTCTAGCAGATACAGTCAAGGAAGCAGGATTGAAGAATCCAGGAAGTTTTCGAAGTACAAATCTCAGAAAATACATAGCTACGGTGTCACAGGTATGTATGCTCCATATGATATTTTCCAGAGAGCAAATGGAGAGAAAGTTTCTTTGTTTCTGTCAAATAACATAATTCATATACCTGTATCAGATTTAAATCAAATTTGGTACATTTCTTTCTGTCAACAAGATCTTAGATGAGTTGCCATTGATTGTTTATCCCTTATGAGCAGAATATCATCTGTATCCCAGAAAACCTTACAGGCCATAACCTTCCCAGCTGATGGGACAGTCTTTGCCTTCTTTGGCGTGGGTGATAATGATCGAGCCAGGGTGCTTCCATTGTTTCAAATGTTGTTAAGCCTCTGGGGTAAAATGATGGACTCATGTTTCATCCATAATGACAAATCTCTGAAGAAAGTTTGCAAGATCTTCCTCAAAAGGTTAAGATTATCATGCGATAATATGTACTTGGTGTGCTTCTGGTCAACTCTCAGAACTCTTGGCACCCAATGGGCCAAAAGCTTTCTTATTTCAAGATCCTCTGTCAGAGTGGGATGTGCTCTTTCCTGTGAAATGCCAACTGTACTGGGTATATATCTTCCTGTAACTTGTCTGTCAGTCATAAAAATAACATAGAATTTATTGACCAATCTCGGGCTTCATTCTCAAGGCTGTCTGCCGCACTTAAATTCCACCACCCACCATTTTCCAAAGTGTTGCTACCATATCCTTAATATCCATATCCTAAGGTTTTAAACCTTTTTATGCATATAATGGATCACTGCTCTTTCTCCGATTTTGTCCGTTTTGGAAAAGCAAATTGTTTAATTTACAGTGCTACCTCCTCAATATAAACTGACCAAATGAGATCAATCCTTGGGTACACGGCCTTATGAAGTCAGAGAATAGTTGGACTTTAAAAGAACATCCCTGCCTACCTCTTTCTATTTGAGGCTCACAGCATATCAATCAGCCCTCTTACCTTTATAGTGGAGCAGATAAGCTCTCATGTCCTAACAATTGTGCAAATTATGACTAAAGCATGAAATTTCTAACAGTGTTAGTAGATACCATAAGGTGGTCTGTCCGTCCATCCGTAAACAATTGTTGTTACCGCTATTTCTAGGAAGGTACTGGATGGATCTTTCTCAAATTTCATATGCAGTTTTCCCTTGGTCCCTAGTTGTGCATTGTACCTTTTTTTAACTGATTTGAATTCAAGATGGCCGACAGGCAGCCATCTTTGATTTTGGAAGTAAAAGTTTGTTACCACTATTTCTGGGAAAGTACTGGATGGATCTTTTTCAAATTTCATATGCAGGTTCCCCTTGGTCCCTAGTTGTGCATTGTACCTTTTTTGGTCTGATTCAAATTCAAGATGGCCGACAGGCAGGTATCTTTGAGTTTAAAAGTAAAAGTTTGTTACCCCTATTTCTGGGAAAGTACTGGATGGATCTTTCTCAAATTCTATATGCAGTTTCCCCTTGGTCCCTTGTTGTGCATTGTACCTTTTTTGGCAAATTCGAATTCAAGATGGCTGACAGACGGCCATCTTGAATTTTGGAAGTAAAAGTTTGTTACCGCTATTTCTTGGAAAGTACTGGATGGATCTTTCTCAAATTTTATATGCAGGTTCCCCTTTGTCCCTAATTGTGCATTTTACCTTTTTGGACTGATCCAAAATCAAGATGGCTGACAGGCAGCCATCTTGGATTTTGAGAGTAAAAGTTTGTTACCGCTATTTCTGAGGAAGTACTGGATTGGATGGATCTTTCTGATATTTCATAGGTATTGGTTTCCCTTGGTCCCTAGTTGTGCATTGTACTTTTTTTGGACTGATTTGAAATCAAGGCAGCCCACAGGCAGCCATCTTGGATGTCGACAGTAATACAGCACAAGCATATTTTCTTCGATATTCTATCATATTGATTCAAGACCATGTCCATTATTCACCTGTAGCTGACTGCTATCTTATAATACTTTGGGATCTTTTTCAAATGATATTTGCTAATAGGTGCTTAAAAAAATATCTTGTGCCATCATTGAGTACATTCAATGAAGACCAGTTCATGAACATTTACAAAACCTGTAACAAAAAAAAAAATAAACAAATCTTCAAGAACTGAAAACAGATCCTCAGATGGTGGGCGCCAAGATCCCACTGGGATCTCTTGTTCTAGTTAACATAAATAAAGAATACAAAATATTCAAATTAGCAAATTGCTCTCCATACCTTTATAGCGAATTCCACGCTGAATCCAATGGTGCAATCTGTTTTGTTCCCACTCTTTAAACAAAAAAACCAAAGTTTAAAAAATCATAACTTTTGTGGTGGCTGGTACTAACACAATTTTTATTCTGGACATAAAATGAAATCAATGACCTCAGAAAACAAATGTAATGAAATATACATTTAGGTTATTGTGGTGTTCAGAACAGCCTGCATGACATCGTACTGTAAGATAATATGTACAAATTTAATTTTCAATGTGCATGGCACAAAAGCTATATATAAACTTAAAGTACGGTGATGGTAGTGACCTCAGACACATGTATAGTACACACTTAACTAATCGTCTCCCGAACATGCACATAATGCAATGCACTTGAGTGCAGCCTTGGTGCACTTGCAGCGGCCAGTCCTTTCTTGCAGCCGCAGTGGATCAGTTCGTGGCAAGATTTTGATGCCTCTGGAAGTGTCGTCCAAAGAGGCTGCCACCTCATTTTTCCAACCCCAGTCAGATGGGCTTGGTAACTCAGGATTCAGGACCAGAGTTTGGTTCCAGCAGTTGCCCTGGAGAGATGCAAGCTTGATGTGCTGGTAGAGTGCTGCCTGCGTTGGGGGAATGTTTTCTAGAGCCCTAGACTTGTGTGCGAAGAGCTCTTTCCTAGCATCGTTGACTTTCATGATGTCACTGGTGCGGTCATACATCAGCACTATGAAGCACTCCAGCAGTGACATTGACTCATCACTGACATCACTTGGCATGTGTAAGAGTTTCTCAAAGGCATCAGTCACCTCAGGGAACACTTTCCAAACCTTCCAGGCATTCTTCTTCCCTCTGCCAGCGAATGAAGAACAGTGTCGCACCCTGTGAGGGCATGGAAGATGGGGAGAGTAGCACATTGTCTTGGGTTCATGGAGGCAGCCAGTTCGTGAACAGCTATGTACCAGAAGCTGGATCCAGTACCAAGAGCTATCCACAGCTCATCAGGATTGATGTTGTTGAAAGAAGCCACAGCCAGTACCACAACATCAGTATCCACAGTGCGTATGGCCACCTTCCTCATTCCCTTCTGCACAGCATCTGCCACATGTAGCAGCATGCGAGTGTCCGCCTCCTTGTGTAAACATGGTGCAAGGCTGGTCAAGTCGGACTCGGCAGGAGAGCATAGGACTTCAGTTCCACATGTTGCATACGTTTCCTTGACATCAGCTATTGGAAGACGAATGACCTCTCATGACAGGAAACCAAAGAGCTCAGTCTTGTTTTGATCAACACGAAGGAAGGCCTTCCAGTTCTTAGGCATGATGGTAGAGGGAGCCACTCTTTTCCTGACGCCCTTGCCCCTCTTCTATCTGGTCGTGCATTTCAGGCTGTCGGGTAGATATACATCCATGATGAGGTCCAGTCTGTGGACCTTTCCTAGTTGAGTGGAGATGTAAGGTGCAAAGACTATGTTCACATACTCTTGAAAGGTCTTGGGCCCTACAGGATTGAGCATTTGAACAATAGCTGCTCCGCCAAGGATTGTGGCATCAACCCCAGGTGCGCTTGTGATTTCTGGTTGGTCTGGTTTCAGGCAGTGTAGTAGATCTGCTTTATCTGCAAGGCGCATTTTTCCTCCTGTTGATAATGCAGGTGGGGCTGCCTGGTTCTCATGGCCGAAGAACTGGTCAAGATCGCCATCACGTGATTGACATGCAATATACAGCTTCGTGCATAGTTCCAGTCTTTCTTCAACAAACTTTGTGTATTGCTCCTCACCAAGCGACTCAATCTTCCTCACAGTTTCTGCCACTGGGGTTTCCATGATGTCTCTCGTGTCAAGGATCAGTAGATCTTGAGTGTTCTCTAGGAAGGAATTCCCCATATCTTGAAACACTGCTATAAGTGCTCTGACATCCTTCATATAGGCTGCTTGCACTCCAGGTTTCTGGTCATGATGAAGATGCCCAGTGTCTTGAGCACCGCTATGTCCTGATACCGCCAGATCTTCAAACTCTGTCATGATCCTGGCTATTTCTGGCCCTGCCACCATCCAGCGTCTGAGTGCCCCAGGGTTTCCTGTCAGTCCAATAGCTCCACCAGACCCTTTGACCAACGTATTGTTCTGCTCATGACATTGGTCAATTGCCATGGCAGAGAACTTGTTGCTGGTCTTGTGTACCACAAACTTCCCAGACTTGAATTCTGTCAGGACATCTGGGTGTTTGTCAATGAGGTTCACCATATCATGGATGTGTACAGAAAGCCACCTGGAATAGTTAGTGTGATCTAAGGTGAACATCCAGGGGATGATCTGTGTCAGGGATTGTACATAGAGCTCAAAGTTCCCTTCACGAAGTGATTGGATGTATACCAGCAAGAGAACCTCCAGTGACAGGGTCTTGAGCCAGTAGTCAAAGTGCACGCTGGCCTTTGCTCGCTGTGTGCACCAATCCTCAAAGACCTCATCATCTGGCTAAGTGGTGTTGCCATCATCTGGTGTGCAGTTTTTACTATATGCCTGCTGGAGTAGTGTGTAGAGGGCTGCAGCTGTGACTTGGTGTACATGGCGGGTCTTGGTAACATGGCTGGCTCGAATGAAGGAATCTGCTGTCCCAGACCTGGCAATGTCGGCCTGTACCAGGGCGTTCGTCCAACTGCTGTCCTCCAGCCAAAAAATTGTTAGTATCAGCCACCACAAAAGTTATGATTTTTTAAACTTTGAGTCATGAGTCAGATTTGACCTCTGTGGACCGTGAGAGGTCATTACCTCCCGATCTTAAAATGAACCTTATGGGATGTACTAACACTAGTAAAAAATGCATGCTTTAGTCATAATTTGCACAATTGTTATGGTTATCCGCTGTACTATTAGTAGAACAGTGATATCATTTACTTACAAAACAAAATTTAAATGGTGTAATATTCAACTGTTTTGTGATAAAAACACTTCATAAGATTAATCATTTGTATATTACAGGTTCTCAACATGAAAGAACATGAAATTGAGTGGCTTGCAGCACATTTGGGCCACGACATAAAAGTGCATAGATCTTATTATAGGCTGCAGGAGCAGCACTTAGAACTTGCAAAAATATCCAAACTTCTCTTTGCAGTAGATCAGGGGAAAGCTCATTTATTCAGTGGAAAGAAGCTAGATGATGTACAAATTGATGGTGAGTCTTTTAATATTTACAAAAGGGACTGGCACTTAACATTTATTTATTTTTTTTTTTCAATCCAATAGAAATCAGTCTGTCCATCCAAGCTGTCTGTCTTGAACTGTCTGGTGCGTGGCTGCTAAATTAACTTCAGCATTTATTGGACAGTTTACATGAGATGTGTGGTGAAGATAGTCAGTTGACAAAAGTTCATTCTAAGTGGAAAAAAAATTAAAAGTCAAGATCAGTAGGTCAGAAAATCAAAGTTTTCTATCTTTTCATTGATAAACATTTTATTATAACATAAAGGTCAAGGTTATGTTGTCAACAAAGTTATTATGCCCAACAGGATGAACACTCTTGCATAAAACAAAGCTCTCAAATGGTGACGCCAAGATCTCTTTGGGATGTTGTAAAGGTAGAAAGTTAATTGACCAAAGTTAAAGGTCCTAGTGTTTGACAAGTCATGCAAATCTGAACTCTGAATGTCAATCTGCTTATAATATAATAACATCGATTTGACTCCATCTATAGATGGGATAGTATTTTTGCATTTGCAGGTATAAATATATTTTTTTACCAGTAGAATGCAAATTGAGGATCATTATTACAGCCTAAAAGGACAAAAGGACAAGTCATATGAAATACTGCATTTAGATTAGACTCAAAGCCGTTTTTTAAGGATTCCCATAGGAAGCGAGAAAAGGGGTATTCCCAGAAAAGATGTTTAAGTGTTTCTCTATTAGCCAAACAGAAAGTACAAAGCCCACTTTCCATGATTTTCATGATCAGAAGTCTAGAATTTGTATATAAAATTCTATGAAGTAGCTTAAACTGAAAGGTCTGTAGATTTGTATCGTCAGTTAAAAAAAACGGTGCCTTGTATATAGACTTCCAGTCGTCTCTATTATATGAAAATTTCTTCGTTTGTTTATATCTTTATTTTATATCAACATAAATTAAACACTTTTAAATGTTCAAACATATTTGACCCCTATGACCTTGAATGTGGGTCAAGGTTATTCATATTTGCAAGACTTACAAAGCAACATATGTTGATCATCTGTTTTAAATATTAGAGCTTTAAACCCTGTGGAAATTGTTTAACACTGGTACCATATATTGTACATTTCAACTTTGACCCCTTACGGAAACCGGAGGTTGACATTTTTCCTGATAACAATACATGAGAAAAGTTCTTCGTTTGGTAATCTCTGCAACATAAGCAAAGATGAATATTGTATCTTATATCGTTAATGAGTTATAGCAATTAAGCTAAAAACAGATATAACTTCATGGTGGCCATCTTAAATTTTAGATCAAGTCAAAACTTTACCTAAACTGTTGTGTGTACTTGGGGCTAACATAATTAGATATTTTAAGTTAAATTAGTCTGCAAAAACAACCTTTTTAGCATTGTCAGCATTTTATTTTTAAATCAAAGGGCAATTTTAAATGGCATACAGCCATAACGGTAAGTCTTAGAGAAAAACTAAAAATGCCAAATCCATCAGGATGTCATTATCTATCATCTACAGAAAAACCTTTTAGAAAATGTTGAAAAATGAAAAAGTTTTAAAATTTGTAAACCTTGACTCCATAGCGAGCTTTTTTTATTAGTAATTTTTTTTGTATTAATGTATATTAGAAATAAAATAGCCCCAGATATTATCTATAATCATACATTATTATATATATTATCTATAATGATATCATAGTTTAAACACTGTATCTTTAACCATTATTGGTTTATAACCGTTTTAATGAAATGACCTTTGACCTCAGATCGGCCATACTATTAGATATTATCGTCAGATATTATCTGATATATGATTGGCCATATTTGATTTATTGACCTACTTAAAAGAAGTTACTTGGAACATCTTCAGATATTACCCTACGATAGGATTTATATATTATATACTTATTCTTTACCTTTTAAAAGATATACACTCCACAAAAGTTCGGAAGAAGAAAAAGAATAAAAATAAGAAGAATAATAAGAAACATAACAAAAACCAGTTGGTGAAAAGCCCTAATTTCATTGTCCTCACCCTACAGGCGCCTGAGGGGAAGGTCCAAAAGGGGGAAAATTGACAGAAATTTCAAAAATTCTTACATGATAAAATAAAGTACTTCTCATGCATGGAAAAGTTCTAAGGTTCTTTACCAAAATTGTAAATTTCATGGCCCCAGAGTCTCACATTTCCCCCTGGGGATGGGATAAAGTTTACTATAACTTATATAGAAAAATGATAAATTTGCTCATAATTTGTTAAATTTCCATAGAAAATCATTCCGTCTGTTCTTCAACAATTTCTTCAGCGACTTCTTTTCTACTGAATCGAATTTGATCAAATTTGGCTGGAAGCATCCTTGGCTGGTGGGGATTCAGAATTGTACAAATGAATTTGCTGAGGGGCAGGGCCCAAAAGGGGTAATTTGGCCACATTAATTTAAGTGTCTTCTTCTCTGGAACTAAAAGAAGGCTATCAATCATATTTGGCTTGAAGCAACCTCAAGTGGTTGGGATACAAAAATGTACAAATTGTCAAGCTGACCCTTAGTGGGGGATGGGCAAGGGGTGGGGCTCAAAAGATGTAATTTGGCCATAGATTGCTTAAAGCATCTTTTTCTCAGAAACTAAAAGAAGGTGATGATCTTATAAATTTAGTTGGAAGCATCCTTATGTGTTTTGGATTGGAAATTCTTTAAATGAGGGGTTGACCACAGAGGGGGTATGGGGCAACACATGTATATATGTTGGTCATAAAGATCAAGGTGAGCAATACAGGCCCTCTGGGCATCTTGTTTATAATTATTAGCATTGGATATTAGTTTGACGAAATATCCAAATTTTCCCTGAATGTCCCCCAGAGGGACCTGATGGGAGAAGCTAAAAAAAATTTTATTATTTTTCACATAAATGGATTAATGAATCAAAACTATGTGATTTCAAGTATATAAAGTATATAAAAAAATATTTATGATTTTCAGCATTCAACATTGCAATTTAGTACAAGATCTTGAGAAACTTTTACATCGTATTGATGATGTTTCATGTATGAGTTGGACATTGTTAGTTTCATTTCAAATTGAAAGGTCAAAGGTCTCCTGGTGCAATTCATTATCCTATAAACTTGGTGTCCAAGTACAGATAAGCGAGTAAGGAGGAGGGGGTATATATGTTTTACATTTCTTGGTGGTGTCCAATAGTGAAAATTTAAGTTCTTAAAAATCTTTCTTCTGTACATGCATATATTTTCTGAGCTCCGTCTGAAGCAATTTTTATAAATAGTGAATCTGACTTCTATTGGACCACAAGGGAGGGGTCTAATAGGGAAATTATGTTAGAAATTATTAGTCATATTTGAATTCTTTGTTAAATGGCTGAATAGCTGAATTATAGCTATGCTATAGTGATGAAAGTCCTTATTGCCTCTTTACATAATTACAAAGTAAAAGAATAAACTTTTTGTTAAAGAAATGGAAGTCTTGAATGAGTCGGTTGACGGTGACACAGATGACGATGATGATGATGATGATGATGATGATGATGGTTATGATGATGATGAGCCAGGTAGGTTATTCCCAAATTTTAAAATGTGTTCAGTGTTTCTTTGAAAAGAGAAAGTGCTTTTTTTATACTCTGCTGTGTATGTATATTATAAGAATAGAGACTATTTATATTTACTCTCTCTATCCAAACTGAAATATTGGCCACTCCATGGATGCATCCACACTTTGGTTTCTGCACAATAACTAGAGTAAACCTGGTATTTCCATACATAACCTTAGTAAATATTGTTAAATTTTGAGTCTGATCCAAAAAAGAGAATGTCTGGCACATTTATTTTTGTTTAGACTTTTCCCCACAGAAAACTACAGTGGAATACCACTGGAGTACCACTGAAAACAACTGGTATTCCAAATACCAGTAGTATGCCAGTGGTATTTATGGAGTCCGTGGTATTCCATTGGAATGCTAATTGTATTCCTCTGGTATTCCACTTAAATACCAATGGAATACTGGCAGATTTTACCCCTGGCATGCCAATGGCATTCCAGTGGAATACCACTTGAATACCAGTACTTTTTTCACTAGGGGTGACATTTTCTTCTCCGGAAATTCTAGATTGATCACCTTTAGATTACTTAAATAGTTTCACCTTCTATCAAAATGTTTTTGAAGAGGAGAAAAAGATGACAAAAGCTCTGAGTGAGATGAAAGATACAGATCCAATAAACTTTTACCTTGATTGGATTTATGGTTGAAGAAGCCCTGCATATCAGTGGTATCCCCCTGGGACCTAGACAATGAACTTTATCTTATCTATACATATACATACACTATAATGGATGTTGGTTCTTTGGGATTTTCCTCCACCTTTATTTAAAGATCCAATAAAGATCAGTCTGAGATCTCTTATCTACTAAATTATACTAGAATTGGATGAAATCTCACCATACTGTCATTGGTATTTTCTTGTAACATATTTTACATGTTCCATTAATATAATCAAAATGTAAAACTTGCAGATAGGAAATGGCAGACCTTGATTTGAATAACATTCCTTGTTTCAGTTCGACTGATGCTTTAACTCTTTTATTTCAATTTAGGACTTTTTAGGTCATCTGACCCGTGGGCTGTCTGTAAACTTTTTTCTTCGAATAACTTCTGCTCAATAACTGTAAGGCACTGGGTACTCATATTTGGCCTGTAGCATACTGGAATGAAGTAATGAAAAATGAAAGACCTTGACCCAGTTTCAAGGTCACAGAGGTCAAAAGTCTTAAAATCTTAAAGATACTTTTTCTGACTATCCAGAAAGCCAAAGGTAATTATATTGCCTATAGCTTGCATGGATAAATGTCTACCAAGTTTGTTGAAATAAATGACATGTCAACCCACTTTCAAGGTCACAGGAGTCAAATGTGCATGAAACCTTTAAGAAGCTTCTTCTGAATAACCAGAAGGCCAAGGTCAATGATATTTAGCCTGTAGCATGCTTGGATGAGATTGATCAAGTTTGTTGAAATGAATGACTTTGACCCACTTTCAAGCTTGCAGGGGTCAGATGTGTTTAAAAAACTTCAAGAAACTTCTACTCAATAACCAGAAGGCCAAGGGTAATGATGTTTGGCCTATAGCATGCTGGGATGAATGTCTACTATGTTTGTTCATGAAGCGCGCTTACATGTTGGATTTACCTTTGTCCAGTTGGCATTCATACTGCCCATGAATGTCATTCAATGCTTAAATAAAATGCTTGTCTTCCATGTTTGTTCAAATGACCTTGGTGCACTTACCAGCTGATGGAGTCAAATGTATTAAATCATGGCGACTGTGTGGCCTTGATTCTTAATCAAGGTGAAATTAGATCAAAATCTTAAAAACTTTTTTATGTCAGTTGACAGTTGAGACCCATGGGCCTCTTGTTCGAGATATGTTTACATAACTTATACACAATAATCTAAATACTAAATGTGGGCCACCAGAGTTTCTTTCAAATAAATTATGTTTTTTATCACCAGAACTATCAGAAAAACATGATTGTTTAGCCAGTCAGCTAGAAAACAAAGGTAAGGATCATTTTTACGAAGTCTCATGATGACCTATTGCAATTGTTTTTTGTCTGGCGTCATTTGTAGTGTGCTATACATTGTCCGTCAGTAAACTTGTTACATTTTTTCTTGCTTCTTCTGGAAAATGCCAACTGATTTTAATGCAATTTTGCATAATTATTCTGTGGTCAAAGGTGAACTAAAAGTGTGCAATTCTTATCCACTTAATATTTTTTGTTTTTGAGCAAATGCAAGTAGTTTCAACAACTTAATAAACTGGACACTGCAAGTGTAAATTTTCACTGAATGAAATGGTGTTTATTATTTTTATGCTCCCCGAAGGGAGAGCATTTAGTTGCCGCTTTGTCTGTCCTTCATAATTTTGTCTGGATCATAACATGAAAACTATAAGAGATATCAACATGAAGCTTCAAAGGTAGATAGAACTCAATGAGGAAGTGCACTTTCTGCTGCAAAACATTTGAGTTTTAGCCCTTTCTTATTTTTTATACTTGAATTTTTTCCAGACCATAACACAAAAACTACAAGAACCATAACTCTCTGTTGCATAATGTAGGAGTGATGGCCTTTCTTAATTTTCAAATTATATATTTTAAAAGAAATAATTATTTACATGTTTACATGTTTGACGGATGTTCTTTTTTTTTTTATAAAACAAGAGAATCGGTAGAACAGATTGGATGCTTCCTAAAGAAGCACTAGTTACGAAAGGGCTCATTTCATTTGTTACATTACTTTTAATAAGAATATTTTGTAATGTTCCTTGATAGTGCAAGCAAAAAATTAAGAGAATGTAGTTTTTAGGTAATGGATTGTAGTTGTTTTAGATGTATTTTTTCTGTTAGCCTTACTAATTGAATGACAATTTATTGAAACAGTTACATAGCGTGTTTTTTTTTCTAATGACATAATTTTTCATATATATAATAATGTAATAACCATTTTCAATAATTAGTTCTACATGATGGACACCATTTTTAACTCTAGTGTAACATTTATGTCCTTTCATCATCAGATACACTGAAAGGTCAAGCACTGAGTTCTTCCAGTGGTGCTGCCGTTCAGCCAAAGAGAAAAGGTCAGTGTTTAATAATCAAAATGGAATATTTAGGGAAAATTTTTTTGAATGATTAGATTTTCAAGGATCTTGTTAAATACATTATAAATCCTGAGTGTTTCGAGTGCAACTGTATCTAGAGTTCTGAATGAAATAATCCATGTACAGGACAAATTTAACATGGGGCAAATATGTTTTGTGTTGCTTAAGGGCGAAAATAACCAGGGGCAATAATTTCCCGGTATACAGTAATTTAAATCGAATTCCTCTTAGTCTCTAGTTATACACTGTTGGATTGTTTCTGTTATATGCCCATTTTCAATTTTCTTAGTCATATCTTGTTATTGCTATATCTTGTAAGGTACTTCTCATGTTTGTTTGCTGATGCATTGTAATAACGAAAGTAAAGTGATAAAGATCATACAATAGTTGACACCATCATGCAAGATCCATTTTGATGTGCTGAATTGTTGTTGATAAATAGATTTCCTTAATCATGGATCCAATTTTATTGTCATTTTTTGTCTCGCCTTCGATGATAGTCAAGGAAGGCGAGACTAAGGTGTTACTTTTCCCACAGCGGCAACTGCGTCAACATTTGCTTTTAAGTCCTTTTTTCAAAGCCTTATTATTATCCAATTTGATTCAAACTTGGTCACATCACTCATACAACTTTACTGAACACCTGCCCCCAACATAAATGAAATTGATAGACAAGTTTAGGTATTTTGGTGTAAAAACATGTGAATTTTGAGAATTTGCCTTTTAGTCCACTTTTCACAGCCTCATTATTATCCGATTTAATTCAAATTTGGACACATTACTCGTACAACTGTACTGAACGCCTACCTAAAACAATAAGGAAATTGATAGACAAGTTTAGGTATTTTGGTGTAAAAACATGTGAATTTTGAGAATTTGTGTTCAACTCCACTTTTTACGGTGTTATTGATATCTGCATTAAATCTCAAACACATTACTGATACCATCGTACTATGCACCTACCCTCAATTTACAGGAAATTGTTTTACAGGTTCAGATGTTTTGGGTGAAAACATGCAAATTTTGAGAATTGGTGTTAAATTCAACTATAACAGTGTTATTAATGTCCGATTGAAATCAAACTTGGACACATTACTGATACAATCATACTGAATACCTAATCTGTGTGTATTTGTTGTACTTAGCTATTATATTTTATATGGACTTGGATGTTACCGACAAAGTGTGAAAGGCGTGACATATAATTATGCGTAATTCTTGTTTTACCACAGGAAAAAGGTGCACACACAGGCAATGGTCTGGACCAGAAAAAAAGTTTGTAATGGAGAATTTCCATAACTCCATTATCAGTGGATCAATGATTGGTGTTGGCAGGAAGGAATGTGAAGCTGCTTTGGCCAAAGCTGGACCATTGCTGTCAACAAGAACATGGGTGCAGATCAAATCATGTGTAAAAAACATAATTGACAGGAATAGGAGGGAGGAATTAAAGAGATGTAGAAGAAAAGACAATAAATAGTGATATACCATTGAATGCATATTATACATCATGAGACACTGTTTAGCTGAAACCTTACATGAAGAATATTGGCATTGGTATATTGCAAGAATATGTGGAAGTGTGTTTTAAATCAGTCAAAGTTTAGTTTCTATTGAATTAGGTGACTCCTGCACAGGGCTAAATACGTGATGATGACTGATTTGTTTATCTTCAGATGCTGAAGTAGTTTTAACTCACAAAGTTATTTTAGCCACATGGAAAGGATACCAAAAAGGCTTGGAACACAATGTTGAGATGTTCAACTCTTCTGGTCAGAAGATTCCTGTCTTATTTTTTTTCTTTGTTGTTAGTTCAGTCCTTTTTGCCTATCTAATGACAATTTTTTTTATTGTTTTACATGCATATGCTAAGGTTATCACCTGCTGCTTACATATGACCTGAGTTACCCTGGAAGTAGCATAGAGTTTGGCATTTGATTTGAAAATAATTAAATTGAAATTATACTTTTAATTATGATGAACACGGAATGAAGGCTCCCAAGGGGATCATTGTTACTGAAAGTCAAAACATTTGTCCTTTACATGTGTACAATTTAGATGAACATTTTTTACGCCCCCCAAGATTGAATATCAAGGGAATATTGTTTTTGGTCAGTCTGTCTGCAGTAAATGATATTAAATCTTACTTCTTGTAAAGGAATTACAGGATTTTTTGTCCAGATTTGGTCTGAATCATCCTCTGATAAAAGGAGCCAGAGGGGCAGGGCTATTAGGGGAAATGCAGTAAATTCTTTAAAATCTTAATACTTCTGAAAGTGTAATATGATTGTGTCCAGATAATGTCTGAATCATACTCTGATAAAGGGATCAAATTTTAGATAAACTGTGGGTCTCTGCCCCGGGGACCGGAGGGGCGTGGCTAAATGGGGTGGGGGAGGGATGAAGTTATTATTTTAAATCCTACTTCTTCTGAAGGAATTGAACGATTTTGTCCAAACTTGGTCAGAATCATCCTCTGGTTAAGGGAAATGAATTTGTATGAACTGTGGATCTTGTCCCCTTTGGGCCTGAGGGCGGGGCCAAATAGGGAAGAGCCCAATATTGGAAAATTCTGTTAAAAAATTCTAGACTTAGAGAAGTTTTAAGCTTTGAAATCATGCATTTCTTTTCTTCCATTGCATTACTTAAATACATATACTTCGGTCAGATTCAAATCAGATTTGGCATATTGCCTTCTATCAACAGGATCTTGGATCTTATAGATAATTTCCTATTTTGATGACCCCCAAGTTAATGCCCTATCATGATGGCTTAGCCTTCAAAAATGAGTTACTGCATTGTTTTTTTCACAAACACATTTGTTTATTGAAGTTAATAAGCCTCTGAGCTGCTGTATTTTTTGATTCCCTATTAATATTCCTATCATTAACACTTTGACCATAAAAACTGGATTCTCTAAAAGCTCACTTGTCATTGAAATATTGAAGTTGGATTTGTAAAACATTCATGTAAACTAAAAAAGATTTTATATATCAAACATTGGAAAAAGAACATTTTGGAAAATAAATATATATATTACTTTAACTGTGTATCATTTTTTTAAACAGTGTTTTCTATGCTTTATGTTTAGATAACCATATTACCCATAATTCAAGGGAGAAATCTGTCTTTGTTGGAGACTGGACCTTTTTAATACACACGAATGTGTGTACCTGGCTTAGACACAACATTTGATTTTTTTGTGTAAAAGTCTATTTTGGAAGAAAACTACCTTTGTCAAACACATGAAGCTGTGTCCGTGGCATTACATTTGATATCTATGATAGAGACTTATTTCAGTTGCAGACTGGCCTTCTTCCAAACCCACGAAGATGAGTATCAGTCTGAGACATAACATTTTATAAAGTAAAAATCCGTGTTGGTTGGAGACTGGACTGCTTACGAAGCTGTGTATCTGTCTGAGGCATGACATTTGATATTTAATGCAGACGTCTCGTCGGGGCAGAAGACTTTTACCTCTTTCAAAAACACGAAGACCTCATTTGAGATATGACATTTTGATATCTACGGTTCACGTCTCGTCTTGGCTGGAGACTACGACCTCTTTGCGAAAGTTGAAGACCTCTTTCATTCACACGAAGATGTTGATCTATCTGAGATATGACTTTTTTTTTTTTTTGAATATTTTTTGTTGCGTCAATCACTTAATTAAATACAGTTTAGACATAAGTACTTGATAAAGATACACATTGTTCTATTATCAAATATCAAATACAGAAAACAAGTATTATACTTTCCCATTTTTGCCTAATCTTGTTTGCTGCACTTTGGGTCAACATATATGTAGAGTAAAGATCAAGATAACTGTAATTCTGGATAAAGGTCTTACTTGTTTCCCAGTTCGGGATTTTATGATATTGTCGCATCAAAGATATGTATTTCTTGATAAGTTATATGCAAATATTTCAGCCAATTAATTGGACATTTTCGACTATGCCAAATTGGAAAGTAGCAGGCTTTTTTCCCAAAACAATATTGTACTTGAGAAAAACTAAATTTATAAAATATGTCCGAGTGACTGACTATGGTTGTAATCCCAAAAAAGGTGGTATATTGTTTCAGGTGCCTCACTACAGAAGGTACATTCCTGATTTATTGATTTTTTCCTTTTAAATAACATGGAATTTGTGAAGAAAATTCCATGGAAAATTTTTGTATTGTAAACTTTGAAGTTTTGCGTCTTTGGTCTCAAGAAATGGAAGAACATGAATATTTTCCCAATTATCTTTGTTGATCGAAATATCTAAGATTGCGTGCCACCTTTCATGGGATTGTTGAAGATAAATCAATACAGTAGACAATATTTTATGATAAAAATACTTCGACGGTTTTTCAATATTTTTCAATTGACTCAATTTAGCATGTAAAACATTTTCCATACTTTTTTCCGTAATTTATTATTCTCTTCCAGCCTCTCGGTATTGCACTTATAATATAAATGAAATTCACATTTACTCGGTATTTCTGAATGAAACTATTCCAAGACATTATATTTCCATGATCATCTACTACGTCTTTTACATAGAAGATGTCTTCATCACATAAATGTTTGAAAAAGATTTCTATTAACTTTTATTTCTGTATTAAACCATAGAGGCTGTGAGAGTATGTTTTCTGGGGCGGCCGGAAGGGGTTCGTAAAGATCTCCCCAAATACACAAATTTCCCAAAATCAAACCTTTTAATTACTTCCCCTAGTCCATGTTTAGTTAAATCACATATCTTAATTCCACCAACTTGTTCTATATCATCAATTAATGATTTTTCCAGTCTGCTTGGTTGCTTGGATCCAAACATTTCTTTATCCATATTAGTTTCAATGACTTGCTATAAGAGGAAATATCTGGAGCTTTCAATCCACCGTCTTTAAAATCACCAATCAAAAGATTCCCTTTCAGTTTATCCATTTTACTGTTCCGTATAAAATGAAAAAATGATATTTGAATTTTTTTAGTATTTTGGCAGATGGATAAGGGATAACTGTTAGTATTTGTAAAATAATAGGAAATACTAACGTCTTGATTACCGTTACTCTACCTATAATAGAAAAATTCCTGAAAGGCCAATCTGAAAGACGTGACTCTACTGACTTTATTTTTTCTGTAAAATTTTCTTCATAAATATCATTTTTAGATAAATCATACCTTACTTCTAAAAGTTTAAATTTCCCTTGATGGTTCCAAGCTAAAGTTTGATCTGTTTCAATCCCCTCCCCACGGCCCCATTTTGCCCCTTAGTCTGCGACTTATCAAAATTGGTTTTTAAATCTCTCTTCATAGATTTCAATCAGATAAAGAGAGTGGTCGGGGTGGCGCAGTGGTAGCGCACTCGCCTTTCACCTAGCCGACCGGGGTTCGATTCCCGGAACGGACGTGAAAAGGTAAGGGGTCACCTACCCGGGTACTCCCTTACATCCGGGCCAACATACTAAAAGTATGCCCTTAACATCGGGGTCATATGTTATTGCCGCACTTAGTCATTCAATACAAATAATAAAAAGATATGGGGATAAAGGATCTCCTTGGCGTACTCCACGTGTTACTTGGAAGAAAGAGGAGAGGTGACCGTTGTTTTCAACAGAGGCTGATATATTCGAGTATAAAGTTTTAAAACAGTTTACAGGATTTAAAACCAAAGAAATGCAAGCTTTTTTCTATGAATGGCCACTCAATAGAATCGAATGCTTTTTCAAAGTCTAACATAAGTATGATACCCGATTGATTATTTTTTTCCGTCTTTTCTATTAAATCACTAATTATTTTAGTGCATTCCCCTATGTAACGTCCTTTGACAAAACCCGCCTGACTTTGTCTTATGATATCCACTAAAGCTTGTTTAATTCTATTCGCAATACACGCCGATGCTATTTTATAGTCAACATTTAATAAGGTAATGGGTCTCCAATTTTTTAAATATAACTTAGGTTTCCCCTGTTTCGGAATACATCTAATTAAACGCCTACGCTGACTAATTGACATTTCCTAATCCCTAAATGATTGATTAATGGATCTTATCAAAAATTATTTTAAATCCGACCAAAAATTTTTTTTATTAAACTCTACAGTGAATCCGTCTAAATCTGGACATTTTCCATTATTCATGTTTTTTTTATAATTTTTAAGCATTCTTCAACTTTGAGTGGGCCATTTATAGAATGACTTTTCTCATCCGTAAGTTTAGTAATAAACGGATTATTTTCATTAAAAAGTGTTCCTTTCGCGTTATAAAGGTTTGAATAGAAAGCTGATTGTTCAATAAGTATTTCATGAAGATCGTTAATTTCTTTTCCATTGTTCATTATTATTTTTGGAATCATTTTTTCAACGTATTGTCTTTTTTCAAGATTACAGAAATATTTTGTGTTTTTTTCGCCCTCAACCTTCCACCTAACCTTTGCCCCTGTAATTATCCCTTTAATTTTTTTATCCATTAATACCTTTAATTTTCCCTCTGTTTCTAA